TTGCTCAGCTTGTCCTTGCAAGAGCCCAGGACACTCACCTGCAGAGCACTTGGCAAGCTCATTCACCCATTCACTCACATCCCTCACAGCAGCAGCAACAGAGCTGTGAAGCTGAACACATCTAGCCCATGGCACTCGGAACACCTTCCATATGCTGCAGCTTGCCTCTAGTTTCCAAAAACGAGAAATGGAACAAACCTGCCGAACTTAGAACAGAAATGTGAACAGAAGCCACTGCTGATTGCACTTCTACAGGAATAGAGTGAACCCTTGGCTGCATGATGGGTAGAGTTCAAGAAATCTGTCTTATGGACTGGAAAAAAACACTGTCCATCTTATGGAATTCCACCAGAAACACCTGAACAAATGTATGAAGTCAGCATTGGATTGCAGTGATTAATTTATGGTCTGCCATTTTTGTCAGGAGACATTTTGATTCTTCCAATCCAATCTCTTTTTGAGCAATGATTTTTTTTTATTATAACTTCACCTACTAAAATTATGCTGCTAGCACAGAAAGAGAAAAAAAGCTTGTTCATAGTCTTAAGTCACCGCCAAAATAATTCCTTAAATAGTGAAGATGTTTTATGACTTCTCTAAAAGACAAAATAAAGATATGTAAATTTAAGCAGCAAATTAAACTGAATCAGCAACCTAGCAAGATAAGCAAAATATGATTGAGACCACACACTTAACAGAACAATACCCACTGCCTGTCTACCTTGTTAAAACTCATTCAAAAAACACAAAACAGTTGCTAACTAACTGTCAATGGCTGGATACAAGCTAGACTTTTTAAAGGCTTCTGACAAAAGTCTTTCTCAAGCAACTATTACAGAAACAGCAGCTACAGATTTCTACTTCTTAACATTAAACAGATTAGAAATAGATTAACAGATACGAAATGAAATTGCAGGAATAAATTATCAGTCTGAAAGAAGGGTAATAGCACCTTATTGCTGCTATCTCATACCTCATGCTACCAGCTCTAGGACTACCACTGGTCACAGATATTTCCAAAGCCCTGGGGGAAATTTCCTGCAGGACAAGAAATCCTGAACAGGCATTTGGATGAACAGATAAGAGGCAGGGGTCAGGGATTACCCCATATTCTCAGCCTGATTAACCTTGAGCCATGAATCTGGCCTTCCCTTTCAGGGAAGTCAGCTCAAGAGCCTCACCAAGGCACTGCAGCAGCTGGTCTCAGCATCAATATTACCCTTCTGCCAAGAAAAGGCACAGGGGTAAGAGCAGAGTAAGGTACCAAATGGAATAGTGGCAACCAACGAGGGGAGAATGACAAGCCTGAAATATTCACATGGAGCCTGGATTTTAGGAAAACAGGACAGAATTTCTGAAACAGAACAAGGTGCCAACTCAAAACAATACAAACATTTGAGGAAAACAACTATTATGCTTCACCCCCTGGCACAGGGACAGCAGTGGGTGTCCCACAGCACTCTTAACGAGCATGGGGCAGGACCAAAAGGAGGAAGGACTGCAGTGTATCATTAACTACTGGGGCAAAGAAATCTGCAGGCAGGAAAGGCAAAAAGGTTTTCTGGGTTGCATACTTTCACACAACTCAGGGCATCATAGAAACATTATTTCTGTATTGCTAAAATTTTAATGAATCAAGACTTATGTGACAGCACGTTAAATGGCAAATTAGGAAAAGGAGAAATGTCAGAATTGTCCAAGCTCTTGCTGCAAACCTGCAAAAGGAGGCTTGACACAGGCTTCACCTAGGATTTTTCTGAGACAGCTCTTAACTTTGTGCTCCTCAGATTAAATATTGCAGACTTATGTATCTCTAGAGACACCAAATGGTGGCATTGAAAATAGCACCATCAGTACAGAAAACACTTAACCAATAATTGCTTCCTGTTTTGCAGTACTGCATTCAAATTCATGGGTACGGGGACACGGTGACATTAATCTTAATAAATTAAACAATTAACTGATTTTAACCCACCACTTTTCTTTTCCTACTATCACAATTTCTGATGACATAAGAGTACAAAGCGAGAAAAGGACTGATTCTCGAGAGTGTGTTTTAGATTGCAAGACATCACAGAAACTGTAATTAAGAACTTGATGACTAAGGCACTAGGTTAGGATGTGAAGCACTTAGCTTTAGCCCCAGTGCCACGAACTTGCTGTTCATAAGTCATTTATTTTATTTACTAGTACCTGTCTACCTCAGAGATCCTTTAAGAACAAACACACTGACCAGAGAAATGCCTAGGCTCTCTCTAGTGATAGTCCTATACAATAATTTATGATTGCAAGACTTAAAATTAGTCATGATACAGTATATATTGGCATACAACATCTGAAAGAAAGACAAAGGTCTTTCCATGACTTAGCATTAGCATACATGTAGCATTATGCAGTCTTTTCTTCCTGTTAGCCAACATCAGAAACAAGACACAAAACCAGTTAGGATACCCATGTCTTTCTTTATGGCACTTCTATTTAAATGCAATCACCTGTTGAGGAGAATGAAGACAAGACATATGACTGTTTTTATAATATTTCTATAATGTTTATCCTGATTTATTCAGATGAAGAAAAAGATAAAGTCACATGAAAATGTAAAGAATAGAGAGAATAAGAGTCGGATATTAAAGTTTGTCACTGCATATGCAACTGCAACAACTATTATCAGCCTGTAAATTTTGTAAATAGAAAATTGCTGAGAATAAAATTGATGAGAATAAAATTGCTAACTTACATATCATTGCAGCAGACATTTAGATCTTCATCTGATTTTAAAATGCAGGCGCACAAATATATATTAAAGACATCATTAAAATTTGTAGAGATACCAGAAAAGTCATTAAATGATGGAGCATTTTAGGGGTCGCTAGCCTGTTTTACTATATGCATGCTTTGTCTGTGTCTGGAAAGAGCATTGTGTTCCAACATGAAAAGGCACTTGACCTTGGGAGCTACCTAACAGACTGTGACCAATGCCTATATCTGAAATATCAAGAAATGGCCCAGGTCTGACTGTTCTCCTGACTGTATACGTTCCAATTTTCAACAGCATCATAACGCTCCAGGCAGTCCACTTCTTGGAAAGGGTTGTATTTCTCAGGTGATTAAAATCACTCTGCCTTTGGCTATCTGTTTCAGTCCATGACATAGGTATGCTATAATATAACCGGCTAGAAATGCACTCCCTATGGCGCTCACTGCAGAGGTAACAGGCTCTGTGCCACAACTGGCCTTTTAATTGAATTCGGAGGATTAAGCAGCCTGTAGCCTGAGACTGGTAGAAAGGCATGGGAAATTACTGCAGCTCTAACTCAGTTTTTATAAAGAAAATATATATATATTTTTTAATTTACAAAGTCAACTTAAACAGCTGTAAGCTGGACTCACCTATGCTGCTTGGAATGCTCAGTATGGATTAGAAAATGAAACTTCTGAAGGATAAACTGCACCCTAGATCAATTACAGCCTTTGTCCTAGAGTCCCATGAAAGTACATGAAAGAAATGGAAGTTCTCACATGCACCAGCACGGTGGTGTTGACACTGCTAAAGACACTCCTGCAGCCACCCTATTTCAGGGACAAGACTAAGCACTACAGGGTCCTGAAGTCACCACTACATGGGCTCATTCCAAAACACAACTAATCCCACGTGTTCCTACTCCTAGTAGGCTCCATGTGGAGCATCACTGTGGTTCAGTGAACGTGCTCTGGCTCAGAGGGCTGCACGTCAGCCCTGACACCTACCCTGACACCTTTCAGCCAACAAAAAGCACAGAGGTGCCACTGCTGCACACGTGAATGGGAAACCTGCTACTCCTTAGACTCATGCCCAGCCCCACACTGACTAAACAATCTGCAAAAGGGAAAGAGGAAGCTGACAATTCAAAAAGTCTAGTGGTGAGAAAGAACACCCAGTCATGCTCCTCTCCCAACCTAGAACAGCAAGACAAACCCCAGACAACATCAAAGCTGCTGTGCTGTTACAAGAGAGCCCTGACTATCAGCATAAAGGTACAATCCCATATGCACACCCACTTCTGTCCTCTGCACACGAGTGCCAGGACAAACAAATAACAGATCAGCTTGTTTTCATACAGAGTTTGAAGCTCTATGTAAGAGAATTCAATATTTCAAAAGTCAAACTTATTATCCCTTGTTATAACTCCTGTTGGTAGCTTGCTTAAGCCTCTAGCTCTCTAGCACCACGCAAACACGCAGCAGCACAGCAGCCCTGACACAAACATACACCACAGCTCCACTGCTGCCTTCATTGCTATGTGTAAGCGCAGAATATGAGCACTTTCAGAAAGAACTGTGGAGATGGGAAGGCCAAGTACCAAAGACTTGCTACAGTAGTGCCTGCTAGAGAGCAGACTAGCTAGAGGAATAACAGATAGATGATAGCGATTCTTAGTCCTGTTCTTGACCTGTTACATGAGTTCATGCTAGTTCACTTTGCTTTTACTCCAGTTTTCTTCCCACTCTTAGACTGAATCATCTGCATGGGCTGTAAGCTCATGTAGGCTTCAGGCTTCAACGGCACCCTCTCTATGTAACACACCTACACGAGCCTTACGTACTGAATGCAAATATTGTGGCAGGTTTGAGGCAGACCAGAGGGAACAAGGGGTGAAACACAGGAGCTCGCTGAAACGCAGTGGAACATAGCAAAAAAATGCAATTAGAAACCCCAGCAGGAGAAATATTCTAATTTATATCCAAAATTAAAAGAAGTCCATGAAGAACTGGATGCTAGCGCTTCAAAAACAGGATTATTCCAGCACTACTGTTATCACTAGCAAATCTTTCAGTGACATCCACATTTCATTGCAGTTGCTTATTTACTTAGCTTATCATATTACCTTAAGTGCCTGATATTGAAGTCAGATGTGTGCGATCAGATACCATGGAAAAGCAAATTAAAATACATTAAACAATATAAAAAATGAAAGTTTACAGTAAGTATCACCAAAATAATACATGAACATTACATTTACCTCGGCTCCTAAACTCAGAGAGATTATTTCATCCTCAAAAGCAGAATGTGTATCAATATGAGGAGGAATTCCTGTATAAGAAATGCCAAAAAAAAGTCATTATAGGAGTAACATCTCTTTGCAATCTCTATTTCTACAGATCTCCACATTAAAAAAGAAAAGTAGAGTATCTGTTTAAATGAACAAAGTTTATCGTGAAGGAGAGAGCTACCTTCCAAAAGAATTCAGGACCAGACTAGTTTATCATATGCAGATTAGACGTGCAGTTAACCCAAGAATCCTCTACAATGAGCAAAGAGGCCTCATTCACCCTCTGAAGATTCCCAACGCTCTCTGATGCAGGGAGTCTCTGAGACAGTTACGCTCTCTTCTCGGGCACCTTACAACCAACAGCTATGTGAAATGATCTGGGGCATTAGTTCATGTATGACCATGTATTTTTCTCTCAATCACTCCCCAGAGCAGGAGTCATCCCAAGTTGTCTTTGCATTGCTAAGACTCTAAGGGTCTCACCTGCAGAATCAGGACCCTTTCACTACAAACACGGGGGGTCAAACCTGGCCTCTCCTTTGTATGGCCCAGGAGAACTCCACACACCAACCTCTCGTTGATGTATGAATAACCATACACATTGCCTGGAGCCTGTGCCACACATTTTACCACCAAGTGCTGAAATAAGTCTGGAAGCCTGCAAGATCACAGGATGTGCTGGGAAGCTGTCCTCAGCCATGGAGCAAGGTGGCTACAGACAGCTCAGGAGAACCTTCCTCAGACAGATAAAGTGTAACTCCTATTTGACCCAAGCCAAAACATTTATGTATCCTTATTAAAAAAAATACGTCCACGTTAATTTTGAATACTATCACATTTTCTGAGTTAAAACAAATTTCCCTACCAGTGTCAAGGAGCTGTAAAAAGCATCCTTATTATATGCCAGATTTCTCCTCCAGACATAGAATATTCTGAGTCCCATTAGTTTCAGTGAGATTGACACAAAAGTTTCATGAGGTCAACATTTAGTCCAACTAAAAACTGGTCAGATTTGAAAACCGACCCAAGGTCACGTATCTGTTTGCTTGTAATTCTGTTTCAACCCAAAGCACAAATTCTGCCCTCATATCCATGTTAAGTCAGATACCTGAAGAAGTCTGTCACTTTTTAAAATCCTAAATTTAATGTCCAATGACAGAATCCAGCTCGTAACACAGATACTATGGATATTAATCTGACTGTACTCTATATTCATTCATGTCCTAGCAATTTGTACTTAAGAAAGGGTATTTCCTTCTCTTTTTATTTTTAAAAAGAAAGCACTCTTCCTACTCCTGATAAAAATCTAGAGCTTTAACTTATCTCCTCAGATGTTCCAGCCAGCAATATGTGACTGTAGCAGTTTATCAGACTGTTGGATATATAAATAAATAGGATCAGATTTTCAGACTCCTGTGTTCACCAGACTCTGAACTGACTGTCAGTCATTTATTCTGAAAGAAAAGTTTGTCCTTTCTTCCTAAGGACAAACTAGATATTCCCTAGTGAATGGAAATCAGATATTTAGCCTTGATGAATGACCTTAGCAAAAAGTAGAGTGTATTATTTGTTCCCTTAAGATTTAGTTAGAAGCAAATTTCTCTTCAGATGTCTTCAGTTTGGGAAAGATGCAGGAATAGAGTAACCTCTTATTTCTCAGATAAGGAACCTCTGCTTGTATAACAAATACTAACACTATGTAATACATATATATAATACATGCAGTCTCTAAGATACAACTCTTGCTGTGAGTATGTACAGCATAGAGAACAGGAGAGTTTGGAAAAGTATCAAGAGAAATGCACTTTGGTGCAAAGCCAAATACAACTATTTATCTCTGCATATTTTGTGTGTCTAGATTCAGTGTTACGGCTCAGGATTCTTGAGCTTCATCAATTTGCATAACAACAGTATCAAAACTGCACAAATTCCCAAGTTCTGAAGACAGTACGAAGCCTTTAGTTTCCATTCATCAAAGCATCTCTGGTCACAAAGGTAACATATTAAGCAAGTGCTTAAATCCTGTTCCCGCACCAGGACCCATTTAGATGCTATTCCCTTTCAAATTTCTTTTTGAAGGATAAAAACACTTACCTTGCCCAGGTTCATACTGATTTACAGTCAGTTGATCAGGTTTATGTTTGATATATCCCTGCTTCAAGCACTTCTCTAAGAACAGGTTGCAAATTTCAGGGAGACCTAGTTTTAGGGAAAAAAAAAACAGTAAGCAAGACAGCTTTTTGCACTTTCTATTTAGCATAAATATTTGAACAAAATACCTAGAAACTGTATGTGAAGCCATCTTTAATAAAATCATTCTGCATTTACTATAAAGCCTACATCAAAATTGTGCGTCTGATCTGCAAGTTAGACATGTTTATAAAATTTCACACCTAGAAAGGTCATTCAATCAAGCCTTCCACACTCTAGCAAACTAGACCCACTGGCTGCAAATGCAAACCTGCATTATCTCTGCACATAAACAAGCACTTAGCAAATCAGAGGCAAAAATTCCACCAACCACAGCAATATGGGAGCTGCAGTCAAGAAGCAAAATTATTATGCAGGAAGTCAGAAGTTGCATTGAGACCTGTATAAAAAATGTACCCCCTAAAAAAACGTTACTGAATTAGGTGCTGGATTAAATAAATCTGCTGAAATTAATTTTTTTATTTTTAAAACCAAAAATGAAAGTTACAGTCCAGCACTGAATCTTTAGCTTGCTAGTATACCTGATGATGATTTAACTGCAAAATTCTGTCAAATGTATCCCCCATAAACATGTTAGAAACAACTTTTTCACAAATCTACTGATTTTCTGTTTTCCCCAGTGAAGTGCTTCCCCCAGTTATGTTCTCCTCACACACAATATATTCCATCTGTGAGGCTAGAAAACAGCTCAAGAAAACAGCTCAAATATCAATGCTCTTATGATCATATAATGCTCTTATACTCTATTAGCTTCACTGTTATAACTCCAGTGCAACTAGAGCCCATTTGTTGGAAGCTACATCTGCCACTGCACATAAGCATCACCTTGAACACTTATATTGGAACTTAATCCCCCATTTTACTATTTTTACATCTAAGACTACAAGATGACTCACTTGCATTCCTCTGACTCAGAGCTTTCAACTCCAAATGAGTTACTCAAGTCTTTTAAAGACTGCTTTCAGTCCAAAAGAAATTTTTTTTGGTAAGCAACCAGCAAGCTTCAAGCTAGTCAAGATAAATATATACAGTCAAATATGTCACAACACCTCCCACCCCTCAAATTAATATGCAATTTGTAACATGCAATTGCTTTATAAAACAAAAATAAAGAATGACAATTACAATCTCAAAAGCCATATTTGAATAGACCTGCAACCCCCTGCAAGTGATTAAAAACAAAACTTCAAGCATTTGCACTAACTACATAGACAGATCCCATTCTGGAGCACTGTTTATTACAGTGGTACAGTGAAGGCTCTCCTTTAATTAGAATCTCACGTCTATGCCTCAGTGAAACTAAAAGCTTTATGTAACGGTTCAAATATCAGGCTAGAATAAATATTAGTTAAAAGGAAAGTTCTCACCTCCAGGCAAAGGTTTATTTTTATCAACATTGTTGCTACCATAGCAAAATTCATATCCAAAATGCTTTACTCTTCTATGTTTTAAAGTCTTCTGGGCTGTGAAATCACATATTTAAAAAAAAAAAAAAGATTAGGCTACATAAATATTTCAAGCAATTTGCTGCTCCCCTATTCCACCTTACCTCTGTTAACCCTCAACAGTCTTTAATCAGTCACTAAGACACCATGGGACCCTTGTTCTTGATGGCATATGCTTCTTTTGCAAGTGCAAAAGGCAACAAGGGCATCAAGCCATCCCTCGCACTACAGTTTGAAGTCAAACTGCCTCTGTTTGTGGTAGGAAAGTACCAGTTTCACTGATCTATGTTTAATGCATCTTTATTCCTGCCCTGACCTCTGGATTAGCATTTGATTATCTTGAGAATGTAGCAGGATCCTTCACTCTCACTAAGTTACATGTTAGCTAAGGTCAACATAACCTTTTTAACTGTTCCAAAAAACAAACTTTATATAGGAACTTTGGAGTTAATTCCAAGAGCAACTCATTTTATTACTTGATGCAACTCCACAGGGCTCAAAGCGCTCCAGTGAAAGCACAAAACACCTAAAAAAGGGTATTTCACTGACTTCTTTTTGGTTTAACAAAAGACAGTTCCCAAGCAGGACATCAGACTACGACCTTAATAGAACCAAGTCTTGCATCTGGAACGAACTGTCTAAACAAAACTTGAGTTGTCTGTGGATGGAGGAATCTTAAGTAAAACCATTGCAGATATTGCTTTAGATCACTTGCCCCTGATAACTGATCACTTACGATATAAGATCCAAATTCTAAAATATGAAAAATACATAGTACTTCAAACACCGCATTTTCCAATATGTAGACTTCTTATAAACTGAAAACACAGAGAGCACCAGCATGAAAATATTTTTAAAGTTCTGTATTTGTATGGTTTGACTCACTTTTTTGAGTATCCTTATCTTCTCTCCAGTCAATAATTTCCAACATCCTCCTTTCTTCCTCAGGAGAAATAATATTTTCAACCACTGTCAGGCCTGGAGGCAAGCTTGTCGGCACCACATTTTTCCAAAAAACTAGGGTAATGGAAAAAGACAACATTGTCACTGTTCAGGAAAAACAAACCATGCAACAGGCTATGGATACAGGGATGTTTAGAGTATATCTGCAAGAATATTTACTTTAATAATGCAACAGAGCCTTCTGGTTTCTAATCTGGTGCATGAATGATCCCCTTTTTACATTACACCTTACATTATACCTTAAATTCTGCATCAAGCAAAACACTTAAGTTTTTACTGCATACGAGCAATAAGACTCCTTGCTTCCCAAATGCAAAACTGTTTTTCTGCCAAAATAATGATTAAAATTTTTCCAATAATTTCTGGAAAAAGTCTACTAGCATTTCACTTTAACTTGCACTTAAATTCCAGTTCATACTTTACCACAAAATTCATACTTTGGCAATTCATTTCTGCTTGTAACTTGTCAAACAGAGAGTACCACTGAAATTCTAATGTTCCAACTAACATTAACAGCAAAAAAATGCTTTTTATTCTCTATTATTTCTTGTATTTGATGCCCATAGAAGCAACTATGATCAAAGATGGAAGACCATAATGCTGTATCTATCTAAAAAAAAAAAAATGTTGGTGACACAGGAGCTTTCATGTAGCTGTTCTAATTGTCCTTTTTTTAATTAAAAATATTTATTCACTGACATAATGCAAAGACCAAGCCTTTTCACTAGACACTATAAAAACTCAGAGGAAGAGGTACATGGAAAGAAGGTTCCAGTCCTAAATAGTTTACAGTCAGTCAGAAAAGAGAGAATCAAGGGGAATCAAAACAAACAAACAAACACACAGAAATCTCACTGTACCTCTCACTGTACCTCTTTTTCTTCTTTGGGGGATGAGAAAGAGATCAGAAGGCCAAGGTCACGGAAGCAGTCCAGTGAACTATCCTGAGCTGTCCTGGATCCTAATTTAGCTTCCTAATCACAAAACCTTCATGTGCAGCACGGAATGATCTGGAAACTACCTAAGTAACCACCTCTTGTGCTTCAAAGTCTAAATGAGGGCATCCTACCATCAAATACAAGAAGAAAAGAATATTTTCGGGGGGTACTTTTGTTTCTAGCTTTAGTTTTCTGTCTCTGCTCTTCAGGGCAAAAGCAAAAAGACATGTTTTACAAACAAGCAGAACAATACCTTTTTCCACAAAATTAATATATAGAACAATATTTTGGCCGAAGTCCTCCAACGTAACTTCTTTTCCATTGAGAGCATCAAAGGCTTTCTTGGCATCCTCTGTGGTCCCATATTTCACAAATGAATATGGTTTATTCGGTGGCATTAAAAGGGTTTCCACCAATCCATACTCTTCTACTATTTTGAACAGTTGGCATCTGTTCATCCCATTACCAAGACCAGCATTGGCAACAACCAAATTCTAATTAAACGGAAATAAAAGAAAAATGAGAGTTAGTGATTGCTGTTAACTGGGCCAAAATAAACACTCTAGCAGTACAGCAGCTCTACAAAGAAAGATGGAGAAAGTCCATGAACACTCTTCTGTATAGTCCACACAAAATATTTGTATTTCAACTAGCCTGGTAGCTGAGGCTACAGCATAAGCAACCTATGTTTGTCCAGCACGCACTGTTGGATAAAGGCTTCCATCTCTAGCAGAGGTTGAGCCTCAATTCTTGTGTGCAGTTCCAAGGCACTTGGAATTGGCACATGTGTCCCCTCTGGTGTCCTGCAGATAAAAAGTGACACTAGCAGGTATCACTTTAGACCTCTAGAAATGAACTTTTCCAGAAACTTGACACTACTAACAAAGCAAACAGAAAAACTTCTCAAGGCTGTGATTTTTGGTGTTGTTAAGAAAGGTATTCTTTTTTTTTTTTTTTTTCCCCTCAAGGAATCTTTCCAAACACAGAGATTGGTTTTCCCAAGCCTAATCCATGTCCCTCATAAATATGGACACGGACTCTATAAAGAGAAGATCTAGCTCTATTTAGCACTCTTACCTAAAATTTCTCCCTCTTGATTTTATACACAAGACAGATCTGGGTCTCATTCTTAGTTAACACAGATTATTTGCAGAACAAGGCACAAATGCTTTATTTTAGCCTTTTATAGTGATTTATGATCAGAATTTTCAGTGACAGTTTGTAACCATCATTGCTGGTTCACTAAATACTAGAAAAAAATAATTTATTTAAAGGACTACTATCTAAGAAATATCATATGAAGAAAGCATAGTCCCATTTTAAACAAAATCAGAAAGTTCTTTTGAAATGTGAATAGTTATGGGTCATAACAAGACGTTCAGTCTAACCATAGAGAAGTTTAAGTCCCATATTAAAGACAAAAGAGGATGTAGTCTTGAAGTGCTGATTGAGCTTCAGTGACTCCACACAGCTAGCAACAATTTACTCAGATTGCCTCCATGAACATCCATCCAGGAGACTTTCACACAATCTTCTCTTTAAAGCCTACAAATGTTCTGTGACCTTTCCTGAAAGCAGCTGGTGAAGTGTTCAATTGTTTCAAATGATTGCATTTCACTCTTCTAAAATTCAAAAAAAAAGGTTTAAAATTGAAGAGAGGGATTTAATAAAGAACGAGACAGTAGTATTTTTTTAAAACAGTGAGCATACCTCAGTTACTGCCAAGATTGCCTGTTGTGGTGGTTCTGTTAACACTTTTTAGAGCAGCTTTGGACTACCCATTACTGATCAAATATTTCAAAGATAACTGTATTAGCAAGTCTTGTTATGAAGCAAGCAATAGTGGAGGAGGGAGACAAAAAAACTCCCAATAACTTACAATATATACAAGACTGCTCGGTCTTTTTAACATATGCTCATATGCTATTAGCATGTGAGAATTAAAGAAAAAGCCCAATTTTGTTAGGACAAAGTATTAAGATTTAATATGCTTCTGTATTTGAATGAGAAAAAAAATGCTAGATCAAGATGAACAGAGTAAATGATACAGTACTATAACATGTTTCAAGTCAACCTAGCATCTCCTCACAGCTAAGACAAAGAAATCAAACTTTCTAATATCCTCCCTCCTTTCCTTTGCTCCTGGCTGCAATTGCCACTTACTTCTTGCTAGCACCAGTCAGGAACCATCTCTGTACCTGGTTCTGCTGTAACTCTCTACAGTGACAGAAAACTAACAGCTCAAAAAAATGGGTAGTTTTCTGTTAAGCTACGGGATAACGTGGATTATAGAAATTTTCCCTGAGTGTCATAATGAAGACAAAAAATTGCCCTCTCTTGTTCCCGTGAGGGAAGAGAATGTTCTCCCCTTATCAAGAGCTGCAGATCAGTCAATCAGTTCAACTCCCACAGAATCACAGCCTAAACTAACTTAGATAAAGAAAACAATGTAGGAAGGTTTTTAAGATAAACATGTTTTTAAGAGAGTGTGTAGATGAGCCAGATTATATTTGATGAAAAGGATATATTAAAAAAAAGATAAAAAACTAAAAGCCAGAGAAGAAATCATAGGGAAAAAAGTTTATTTTCCATGCTTCATCATCCTTCCCAACCCAAACTATTGTTTCAAATTAAGAAATTTTATTGAACAACCAGTAAAGTCTCTCCACAGATATTAAAGGCTGAAATATGGTCCTGCTTCAGAGGTGCAGCCAATCTGCAGTCTCAAGAATGGCTTTCTTGAGAAGAGCTACACTTCAGGAACACTTCAGGAAAAATAAGGCATATTAGCACACAGATAAACAGCATTTTTACATGCTCATAAAAATCAGAGTTGCAAATCACCTGTGTGGCATGGGAGACGCACTCAATGCCCTCGTGTCTCATCAGTGTGTGCTGAGCTCTGACCTGCTTCCTCAATACCTTCTTCTTCACTTTACAAACTTTCAAATGGTCTTGACTGGCGCTGCCAATTTCCATGTCGATGATCTGGAAAACAGAAATTATTGGAGTCACTTTTGTTAAGAGGCTTCCTCTGCAAGACTTCATGAAGATGCTAGACTATTTTCCTCATTTTACTCAGCTCCACTCTTTTATTCACAACTTCACTCCTTTCACAGTCTCTCCAGAGCAGAGCAAGGGAAAAAAAATGTATGCGGAACTGCCATGCCAGTTGCATCATCTTAACTTCTAAGTTATTCAGGGCTTCACCTAATGCTTGAGTTAGAAATAAACTGCTCTCCTAGTGGCCTCCTATGTCAGACTTAGAACTTTCAAATCAATATGACATTTGGCAAAAATTGTGGTTTTTTTGAGAGTTAGTAAAATTATAAAATAAAAAAGAAGCTGTAATCATATGTTCCTTGTGGCTGCTGCACTGTTGCCATTATCAAAACACAAAACCATTATCTATAGTGCTGAAAATCTTTAAGGAGAATCAGAATGAAAACAGCACCAGGGAGAAGTAAGGTCTGAGATGCTACATGCTCGGCCATAAAAGCTTGAACCCTGACCTTTTAGCCACATTACTGAATGTTTGCACAGACCCTGACCACTTGAAATGTATTGTTGCTAAATAAACTACTTGGCACCAAGATCCATCCTTCCACCACAGGACTGCTGACAGTTCCTATGGTTGCTTTTCAAAGTTAATTTGAGCTTAACCACACCAACGTGCAGTGTATACAGTGTATGAAAAGTAAACCTCACTAGTGACAAATTTCTAATGAAGCTGCTTCAGAGAAGGAAAGGTGGCTACTGAAATAACTCATTTATCAGAAACATAAACAGTAGAGGCAGAAGAGTTCAGCGGGTTGTCCCCAGCACATCTTCCTATGAGAGATTATTATTCATCACGTATTTATCAGCAATTGTATCTCATCTCTCTTCAGAGACTGTTCCAAGACAGAACACACTAAGAGCATTTGCCTTTATTCTATTCTTATTTTCTCTCTCCCTTTCCTGAATCTTTTGATACTTTAACTAACCACTTTCTCTTCTTGATTGCAAACATCTCAGCAGTCCATAGTTCACTCCATGACAAAACTTCATTTGTCTGCAAAGGCAACAAGTTCAGAATACTTTTCCTATTGAAGATTAAATGAAAAATCTTCAATCAGGGTTAAACACACAAACAACACTCTCCTCAACACTCATTAATCAAATAACAATAGAAAAATTTCCAAGTGGTTTAGACAAGGGGCAGAATGAATTTATATTTCAGCTGGAAAAGAAAGAGCATAGAGGGAAACATGAAACAAAATTAAAATGCTAGCTCGGCCTGCTACATAAACAGCTAAAAAATATTTTGAAAAAACAGATAAGAAACCTGTGTGCAGGGAGGATACTCGGTTTTGCTTGTTTTTAGAGAGACTTCAAATTAGAAAATTTATCACTGGAGCTATTGGTTACTGGCAGGCAGCATCACAACATCTCATGGTAAAAACCTGGTTTTGTTTCTTTTTTACCTTGGCCAAGAAAAGGAGAACAAAATAAAAACGTAAGTAAAGGTATCTGGGAAAAAGGAGAGAAAAAAAAAAAACTCTCAAGAAAAGAGGCATTTGATTACAGCAAGACTCCCCTAGGTATATCTAACAGACTAACCCATACCAGAAGGATTAATCTGATTTGCAGGCTTGTTCAGCAAGCTCCTACACAAACACGTTCAAATACGAGATATGTTCCTAAATGCTTTGTCTGCCCAGCTGTCTTTGCCATACTATGGTGAACAGAGCTCTACAGCTTTACAGAGACTGCCCTGTCTTGCCCATACAGGTTCCATCTTCTCCCTGAAGGAATAAATGGTCACAAATCACTTTACAGAAAAGCATGAGGGGAACATGTCTTAGATAATGGTGAGGTGGGGATGCAGAGAGTAAAAAAACACATAATGCATGTGGTGAGTTCACTCTTTGGAGGCAGGCAGATCTGTTGCAAAAAGATATGTGTGAAGACGGTACACATCACCTACACCAGCCAGAGGGCTGTCAGTTGGCCTCATCATAATATGTCCAGCCAGAAGGAAAACATACCACATGAAAGGTCTTTTATACAGCATCTACAGCTCAACACACTGGGCAAGTGCATTTGATCAATGAGCTCTGGGTTTAAATAGGCTTCAGCCAGCAAGTCCCCATGTTCTAAGCAAAAGTCAGGAAATTGTGGCCACATACTCAGCAAACTAGCATAGAAACCAAAGTGGAAATACTACCTTACACCCTCTGGTTACCTCAGAACTAACCAATATAACAAGGGACAGATGAGGTGTGACTCTGCTGCCTAAACCAAGGTATGCAAAGTCAGTGGAGAAGACCTGCCTGCTCCAGAAGCTGCAGCCCTTCTCTGAGTGCTGTGTGATGCAGACGTCCCTTGATTCTTGAGGAGGTCCCCGAATCACATAGACATCTCCAACCCTTAGAGGTGACCCAACTTGTAGGCACCTTCACTGGGGCAGCAGAACCTCTCCTTGGTCTCGGTGTTGTTATCGGAGGCTTGAATCTGCAGCACCGAGAGCTTTCCTAGGCTTCAAAGCAGAGCAGTCACAGTTACACACGAGCAGGAAACTTCATTTGCTAACTCTTCACGCTCACTTTCCAAAGGTCAACAAAAAGAGCCCCCAGCGGCGGCGCCTTCTCCATCACCGCCACCCCCGCCCACGGGCGCTGGGCCCGCGGGGCCGCCCCCACACCGGGCACGGAGCAGCCGGGCCCGAGCGGCCCTCGCCGCTGCAGTTCGGGGCCGCCCCGTGGTACTTTGGGGCACAGAAGCGCGGCAGCTGCCCCATGCACAGAAGCACCGCGGAGGAAACGGGGCGCAAACCGCCCTCGGTGGCGGCTTGGCAGCTCCAGCAGTGTCCAAGCACTTAAATCCCTGATACCCCTTAAATCCGTGGGGTCTGAGCGCTTGCTTAGCATACACACATAGATACACACACGCATTAATAGCTGGGCACACTGCAGGCAGCCGCCGCCGAGGGAAGCGGGGAGGGGAAGCCCTCCTGCACTCGCCGCGGCCCGGGGC